GCCATCTCCTCCCTGCTGCTCCCCAGCGGCTTGGCCGCAGGCTCCCTCCTCCTCCCGCCTCCTGCTCCTGGCACTTGCAGGGAGCTTACCAATGAGTGGTATAACTGTGGGGGGAGTGTTCACGTGCTCTGTGCTCCTCATGTTTTGATGAGGAAAGGGAGGCCCTTTAGGGCTCCGTCCTATGGTGTGTTGCTGACACGGTGTGACTAGAACCCAGACCCGCTGGCTGGACTTATGTCCTGCCAGAGCAGTGGCTGCCCAGCCCCCTTCCCTCAGGACCAGGGGTCGGGGGACCTCCGGGAAAGGCCCCTCCAGTCCCCACCCCACCGCCCCTTCAACAAGATGCTGGTAGTAGCTGGGACCTCATTTGCTTCTTTTATTTTGAAAGCACGGGGGCTTGGGAAATACTTTTTGGTGAGAGTGGTTCCAATAAAGTAGAAATGCAGTTGAATTTGCTTCCAAAAATGTTAACCCCTGTTTCTCTGGCAATGCTCCCTTACAAAGGAGGATGCGGTCCTCATCCCGTCTCCTTCCCGAGACACGGGGTGCGCGGCGCAGGGGTGATTATCGGCCACATTCCCACTGTAGGTGAGGAAACCGAGGGAGGATCAGCGAGAGCAGCAAGATCACACACTGCTTACCGACAGCCCCAGCATCTGGCGTAAAGCAGGCTGTTCAATAAAGGTTCATTAAGGGAATTGTTAAATACATGAACAATAAAAATTGCTAAGCAAAGCATTTGCTATTTATTGCATGCTCTGGGTGATTACTCTGATTAACTGGGATGACTCATTCCTTCCTCGTAAACATCCTGTTATTACCCCCATTTTAGAGATGAGAAACATGAGGCGCCGCGAGGTTAAGTAATGTCCCAAGGCCACAAGGTAGTAGGTGGCAGAGCTGGGGCTCTGCTTTGAGTCCAGCCGGTTAAGCTCCAGAATCCGTGCCCCTGGCCACCTCACTACACCAGCTAAAGTCTAGAGGGGCACTTTCGGTGGAACGTTCTGTGATGCGGGGAATGTTCCGTGCCCATGCTGCCCAAGGTGGCAGCCGCTCGCCCTATGCGACTGCTGAGCTCTCAACATGTGGCTGGCAAGACTGAGGAACTGCCCACCCTGCAGGCGGGGCAGCCCGTCCCGCGTCCAGTGCTGGGCTCGGAGGGCTCTGAACGGTGGCCAAATGAATAGCCTGGAGTCTTGAGATGAAAGAGACTCATGCCTCAGAGGCCAGCCTGCCCAAGTGCCTCATAGGAAGAAAGCAAGGCGGCGGCCGTGAAGGAAGAGGTGAAGGGGTGACCAGTCGGGGAGGATCAGCAGAACCCAGCCTCGATCTCAGGCCTGGTCCACCCCCAATACCCAAGGCCCTGCCTTCTTGCGTCTGCTCTCTCGGCTCCCTCTACACCTCTGTCCTTCGCAGAACAGCAAAAACAACTCACACTACCCACGTACAAGGGGAGAGAAGCCCCGCGCGTGGCTCTAACACTGAGCTGAGGACCCACAGCCATGTGGGCAAGGTGTGTCCCGAATCCAATCCACCCTTGGTAATCCAGACTGAGACTCTCCACTTTTGGGCTTGTCGGTGGCAAAGCCCTAATCCCTGCCAGGCACTTGGCTGGGAGGCTCCTGGCCCTGCTGTCAGCTGGTGTGTGCAGGCAGTGCAGACTCATTTTAATATTGGCTGGAGCGAAACCTCATTAGAAAAGTAAATTTGCTGTAGCTGCAAAAAAAAAAAAAAAAAAAAAGGAAAAGAAAAAAAAAAGAAAAAGAAAAAAGCAACCCACGCAACCCTTCCAAAGCTAAATAGAAAACCTTGATGTTGGATTATTTGATGCTTTGTGTTCCCGGCACTGCCCCACAGCCTGGAACACAGTAGGTGCTCAGACAGTGTCTGTGTGCACCCAGACATCTTCCAGCGTGGATAAGAAGAGGGTGCAGATCTGGAGCCCGTGCAAGTTGCATGAAGTTTTTTAGACAAGCACTGGCTAATAATTACATTGGAAAAATTACAGTCACCGTGAGTTAGACAGGAAAACATTGTTGTTGCTGTTGTTCAGCAAGGGGACACTGAGAGTGTCCTTGCGACAGAGGCCTGTACCAGGTGGGCCTCGAGAAGGACGAGGCTGGAGGTGGGGTCCCTGGGAGAGGGGAGACCCTGCATCGGCGCCAAGGCGACGGCCTCCAGGGCTGGCCAGGGAATCGCTGCTCTAATTCTAGAGCCGCCCAGATCTCGGAGGAATATGGGGGAGGTATAAAAAATGAGACATTAAATTAACATTCATCTAGCACTTCATATAAAAGCAGCCCGGCGAGAGGAGGGTTCCTCAGTTTCCGGGACTTGGGCGACCAGGACTTGGAGCGCCCCGTTATTCACGGAGCCCGCTCAGCCTGTCTTTGAAGGAGCTGAGACAGGACCCTGGTCTGGCCGTGAGCCTGGGCTCTGCACCGCCCTCTCCCCTGTACCCTGACGCTCTGCAGCAGGGCCCCCAAAGCTCTTCTTGCCTAGAGGCCTGGGGGTGCACAAAGAAGGGTATTCCTTTATCCTTTTCCCCAGATGCTACGCCTCCCCAGATTCCATACCCTTTCTCATCCCACTGTATCCCAGCACCAGGAGGGGAGATGGGCCGGGGGCCGGGGGCCGGGGGCCAGGGCTTGGGAGCCCTTAGCTGTGAGGGATGAACGTGGGTCTCACAGCCTGTCCCCCTTCTGCCTTCACGCCTGCCTCCGAACTACTCTGGAATTCGTCACAGCCGTAGAAAGAGCTTTTCTCAGGAGACTGTCTGACTGCTCCCCCCAGAGGCCTCCCTGCCCTGGTGGATGACCGCTGATGTGGGGCCCTGGGGCGGAGGGCTCTCCGGAGCAGCCGGGCTTCTCCCGCCTTTGGGCCTCCCTCCGTTCTGTTGTTCTGTGAGCGTGCCTCGGTGTCTTTTGTCTGTTGCCTCACGCGGGCTCCTCTGCCTGCCTCGGACTCTCCCGGATTCTTTCTCTTCCTCAGTCCTGCCTCTCTTCTCCCCCGGTTCTCAGCCGAGGGGAGCTCTTGGGCATCTCTGTGCCAGCTCATCCCTCTTTCCGGCCAAACTAAACCAGCAGCCTCCTCAGTCCTGGAGCCTGCCTCTCTGGGAGCTCATGCTCTGCGTTTGTCGCACTTGCAAAGCTCCCAGCCTGCCCCATGCCCTGTGCTCCACGACCAGCAGCGGTCAGCCGACACAGTCCTCTCAGCCCTCAGACATTGCCGCGGGATACCCAGCTCTGAGCAGGGGCCCGGGGCAAGGGGCAGGGGGCAGGGCCAGCCACGGGCATCCTTCTCCGGAGCCCCGGTCTCTGACAGAGGTGCCAGTCTTGTCACTGGAAACGGTCCATGTCAGTGGTTCACCTGCCCCAGACTGGTTAGTGCCTGCTCACCCAGAAAACTTATATGAACATATTCAACCCAGTACACATGAGTTGCCAACATGCCTGAACAGGGAGTGGTCCCCAGGCCTCTATGGGTCAGGGAGAGGAATGGGCCCAGCAAGCCACGTGGCTCCTGGGCTGAGTGGGGCACAATCCCACCAACCCTCTGTGTTCCATTAGTCCTAGCAAGGCCTCCTGCTCCCACCAAACGGGAAGTGGCACGTGGCTCCAGGACCTCCGGGAGTGCCAGGCACAGAGGGCAGAGTGGAGGGCCTCTTTGCAGGACTGATGGGGCAGGGTCTTCATTCCATGTGAAGAAAGGGGGGACTTGATGTAAGTCCGGTAAAGCCAATGGTCACCACTAAGCAGGTTCTGGGAGGAGATGTCTGTCTCTGGTGGCTAGTGGCAGAAGACGGGGGGCGGGCAGGAGGCACAGGAGACAAATCTCAGAAAACCCTAGAGCAACAGTCCCGTGAGGCCACAGGCCCCTCCACCCCAGTGACTCAGGAGCTGTGTGCCACACACATACAGTGACTTCACAGCACTACATGCACAGGGACATCCTCATCCAACCAGACCTTTTACACAGTGGGTGCCACACAACCCAGGCACAGGGTCCCAGCGGGTACCCCACCCAGACTGGGACTCACGCAGGTAGAGCTGCCCCCACCAGCACGGGGCTGGCACCTGGCAGCGGAGGCCACCTTCAGACTCCTGCGCATCGGAACCCCTCAGAGGCGCCCGGCCCTGGCTTCCACGGGAACCCATCAGAACCGTGCGTGGCCGAGCCCAGGCCAGGGCAGTGAGGAAGGGGATGGGGGGCTGGTCAAAGCCTTACTTGGGTGTTTGTCTGTGTGTGTGTTGGGCCTGGGGGGGGGGGTTCTTGACCTTAGCCGCTTGGCACCAGGCTGTCATCTGCTTTCGCTGGCACTATTAGCTCCTGTGTCTTCCTTCTCCTCGTCCGTCTCCCTCAGCTTCCTTTTTGGAAGTTGCCCGCCCTGGCTTTGCAGGAATCAGGACCTCAGGCCCGAGCCCAGTGCAGAGGAGTGGGCGGTGAACTTGCTCATGCCTCCTTGCTGTACTGAAGGTCCCGAGGACCCTTCGCCACCTTGCTGCCCCGCAGCCCCTAGGGCTCCCAGCAGAGCTGCACGGCTGCAGAGCGGGGGTCCCCTAGGAGTTCACGTGACAGTGCCCGGAGCCTCAGAGTCCTTGGGGATCACTGCTAGGGAGCAGGGGTGCAGCGGGGATGCGGGCCCTGACTCATCTGGGCCACCAGGAACCACCTGCTGAGTGCAAAGGGACAGAAGAGCTAAGAGCCTGGACCAGTTGTTAGAAGCTCCTGAGGACCAGCCCTTCCCTTGTTGCTAGACTGAGGAGGGCAAGCATCACCCAGGTTTCGCTTGGAAGCCCCCGCGCGGCCAGCAGCGGCTTCCAGCCCCGGCCTTTCCGGCCCCCTTTCCAGCTGTCTCCGCTGCGCGCACAACCACACAGCCACACACACAGGCGCGCGCGCGCGTTCCCGGGAGGACATGGCGTGGGTACTGATGGGGACGCATAAAGGGGCTCTGTGCGCTGCTGCGGTGCCCGCGGGAGCCGCGGGGGGTCACTGACCTGAGGCGGCGAGTCCGGATCGTCCCCGGCACGGTTCATTCGGGCGGCGGCTCCTAAACCCCGGCCCCGGCGCCCCCAGGGTGCTGCCCTGGGCCGCGCACGCCTTCCTCCCCGGGGGATCTCGGGCTCCGAGACCCCGAGGGCCACTTCATAGCCGCGGGGTCCGAGCGCCCGCGCGCCCGCCGTCCCGGCCCGGCCCCGCTGCCCGGCCCGGCTCCTCTTAGGCTCAGCGAGGCGGCGGAGGGAGCCTGGGAGCGCGCGGGAGGCGCGGGGATGGACCGCGGGGGGCGGGGACCGGGAGGGGCGGCGCGGGGAGGGGGCACAGAAGGCCGGGACGCGCGGCCGGAGCCGAGCCGACCGGGCCGGCTCCGAGTCCCCTCCGCGGCCGCGGCTGCGCCGGTGCGGTCGAGGCTCTGACAGCGCCTCCTGCCCCGCCCCCACCCCCCACTCCCCGCCCCCGAGCGAGCGCAGGCTGCCGGCGGGACCCGCTGCTAATGGTCGGTACCAACCTCGCCAGCTAGGGCGGGGGGCGCGAGGAGGGAGGCCCGCGAGGACCCGCCCCCTGGGATTGGTAGCACCTCCCTTCTCACCCCCAACACCCTTTCCAGCGGAGGCGGCTCCAGCTTTAGGCGAGGAAGCAGGGGCTGCGGCGGGGGTCGAACGCAGCCGGGGGTCGAACGCAGCCGGGGCCTCGACTCTCGAGAGTTAAAGCTGGCCCGGCCCGCTGCCGGCACCCTCATCCCACCCCGCCTCCATCCTGGCTGTTCCTGGCGCCCAGCTTGGCAGCCGTTCTCAAAGGGTGATTGTTTCCGGGCTGGGTAGCTGGGGGGCGGTTCTCCGGGACCGAGAAGCAGAGATGAGGAACGGGAGGGTGCGGCTCCCTCCGTGGCTTCAGGCACCCCGTAGTGGGAGATGGCTGGGGGCGCGCACAAGGTACCTGCCAGGAGGCAGGGGTCCCTGGGTGGGGTGGGGATGGGGGCCCTTCGGCGCCGGCCTGCCTCGATGGCCCCACCTGTAGGCACCGCCGTCTTGCCAAGGGCACATCACCTGCCGCGCCAGCCTCAGCCCACTCCCACAGTACCCTGGACATTCCCCAGAGAAGACAGGGAGGCAAAGCGAGGGGCGGAGAGGGAGCCGGCAGGGGACAGTGGAAGAGCAGAGGTGGAGCAGAAGGGCCCCGCATGTCTCCTGCCTGCGTGGGCTGGGTGGGCTGGGGCTGCGTGACCAGGGAGTTAGTGTGTGCCCGCACGTGTGTGCATGTATTTATGTGTGGGGTGCAGATGTGGCCATGAAGTGCTCTTTCGTCCAGTTGCCAGAGACTTAGAAGCGATCCTCATGTATGTCTTCAGGGTTTGCACCCTCTGGCCGGCCCTCCTGCCAGACACCTGCACGTGGGGCCAGCCTGGGTCCTCTCTGCAGCCACAGAGAAGGCCAGCTCCTGTGGCTGGAGCTCTGGCCCTGGCTGGCCTGGGGGCGCACCTAAGTGTCTTCCAGCGGCTGGAACTATTGCACAGGGTCTCATGCTTCCTCCCCTCACCCCGCGATGAGGAATCAAAGTTGCACCACCAGGCAATGTGTTTCCATGTACTGTGGGCTGATGCTGAGAATCACAGGACCCGGTCCCCTGCCATCTGCCCCGGTTGGTGCCAAGCCAGGCCCTGCTCCTTCCAGTGAGTAGCTGAGTGTGCGGGGGGGTGAAAGAAGCGGGGGGGAGCGTAAGGGTAGGGGCTTGAGAATCAGCCATTTTGGTAAAGACCTTGAGGAAAGGAAAGAGCCCCATGATGCACACCATCTCAGATATTTGACAATATAAGTAATTCATAATTACTGCCTCTAGGGACAGCTGTCCCTCCCTCTCCCTCCCTCTTCCGATCCCAGTGTTTAATAGCCCTCGTGGCCAATAAGGAAGTTCTTCCAAGTCTGACCTGAGTGCCTCCTGCTGCAGTGCAGGACCATTTCCTCCTCTTAACGCAGCCTGAATTACAGCAAGCCCCACTCCGCTCTTTTCTTCCCCCTACTGGGAAAACCCTGGCTCCTGTGGACTCTGCTGAGAGAACCTTTTCCTGAGAGCATGTTTTCTCTGCCTCCAAACCCTGCCTCCCACTAGGGCTCCGCACCATTTGGAGGGAGGGGAAGGGCAGGTGCAGGAGCAGGAAAGGGTAGGGAACAGATCACAGAGGGAAGACCTGACCGTCTGTTTGCATGAAGCACGCACTGCTCTCCAGGTGCACGCAGTCCTAATCAAAAACCACCAAATACTAGGGCGGAAATGACCTTGAAGAGTTCCTAGTTGCAGCCCCTCATTTTACAAACAAGGAAACTGACCCATTAGCAAAGTGCAGGCCACGTGTGTGCGACATCTCGGCCATTTCTCTGTTAGTTCCCCCAGGACAGGGCACGACCCCCGGCGGTGAGCTCAGGGAGGAAGACATTGCGGGGGCCTGGGGTTCAGGTGAATTCTGAAGGCACTACTTCCATCACAGCTGGGCTCTCCAGGAGTCATAAAACCAGGCGTTGGACCGCACGGTCTAGCCCTGCCTGGTCCCGACGGACTGTGTCCAGCTGGACCCTCTCTGTAGGTGGGCTCAGGGCTCTCCCTTTACCCACGGGGAGCCAACCAGATGGAACAAGAAGGGTGACAAGTTTTACCCTTACCATTCTTGTAAGAACAATGGTGATAATAAATCCCTTTCTAGGCACCCGGCTTGCAACTTAGCCCCAGGTTCTGTTTACAAAACTTTGTAATATTAATTTTTAGAGCCAACTGAAAACAATAATGTGGGATTAAAATTAGCATGATAGGCTCCGTGAGGAGAGAGCAGGCTGCCATTAGTTTTAGTGGGAAGTTTTGGCAACACCCCAAGAGTGTGAACACACGCAAACACACAAACAGCTATGTAGTCACAAAACATGCACCCACAGGCAGGTGCACAGGCAAACACACGCGATCGTACCCTTCTACGCTTTGTGTGCACCTACGCATGTGTGTATGTGCATCTGCTCGTGTCCATCTGCACAGGCACAGAGGGCGTGTGTGCACACACACCGGTACCTACCAGGTGGTTGGCTGTAACTACCGCCTTCGTACCCCTTTTCTTCATCAGAGGTCTTTCCTGCCGACCTCGGCAGCTCTGTGGAAATTCTTTCCTTCCACATTCCGGATCAGGGCACCCCCTGGCTTCGCCCCTGCTCCAACATCTGGAACAGCCCTGGGTTTGCCCGAGTGCGTGTCCCCTCCTCTCTCCTCCCCCGCTATATGTGAGCCCCTCTTAGAGGCCCCCGAAGCCTAGCACCAAAATGTTTAGTATGCAAAGAGGACTGTCCTCTGGGACAAGCTGTTATGTGTTTATTGTGTAGTTAAGCAGCACAGGAGCCCTGCCCCCACCCAGTCCTGGACCAGTTCCTACAATCCCATGCCCAGTAGGGTCCCATAAAAGCATCATCTGTGGTGCAAAACCCACAAAACATCTGGGAGGGTCTGCAGGGTTGTTTTTCCTTCCCCAAATCATCGGTGCCCTAATTTAATATGAATAACACTTAGTTTTCTCTTATTAGTTAATTGTCCCCCTTGTGGGTTCCCTCTGCCTCTGCCTCTCTTCCGCAGGAGCTTTGGTCTGCTTCTGACTTGCAATGATGCTTCCTTTCCTGGCCAACCCTATTCCTTAGCTCACCACCCAGAGAGGTGACTGGGGGCCCCCCCTGCCCCGGGCTGCTCCCTGCCTGCTTGGGACCCAGGGCCAGTTGTAGCCAATGGCTGGAGCCCGCATTTCTAAGGGAGCCATCCTTGGAATGCACAGCAGTGTTTCTGCGGAAGTGAGTGGGTGCACAGGTCCAAGGAGACCCCTCCCCACACACTGCAAGGGGGCCGCGCTCACCCCAGAGCTGCAGGAGCAGGAGGAGGAGGGCGGGTGGGCGAGTGCCCCAGGGCCCAGCCTTGCAGTGTCTGGCAGGCACCCAGGAAATTCTCCCACCATGGTTCTCGCTGGACGACTGCACTGTGTTGTTTCGGGGGGCAGGGGGAGCATTCAGCTCATGTCCCCTTCCTGAGGAGGCCTCCGGTCAGAGCTTTGGATCTCAAACATTCTTGTTTCTCCAAAACACCCTCAGCCGCCCCTCGGTCTGCCTCCATTGTCCCTCCTCGCTCGGCAGGGCCAGAATTCCGCCTGAGCTGCAGCAAGAAGGCTGACCCTGCCGTCTCCGATCTCTGCATCCACGGGAAGAGCTCAACTGCATTGCTTTACACCGTGTAAGTGACATCATTTTTGTTCTACTTTGTTTTTCCTGTGGCTGAGAGAAACAGGAGAGGCTGAGAGAGCAGAGCCTTGTGACTTGCAGGAGCGCTCCTCTGAGGCCCATCCCCTTGGGGGAGTGAAAACGACCCAGGTTGCTCCTTGGCCTCCCCAGCTGCTCTCCAGCCACGTTCCAGAGCCCCTGGCAACCTGGGCCTGGTCAGTCGCAGAGCAAATCCCAGGGGGTCCCTCAGCCTAAACCCTGCTCTGGCCCCACTGTGCTCTCCCTGCGGCCTCTCCTGACCCCAGGCAGCTCAGGGGGTGGGTTGCCCTGACTCTCATTGCCAGTGCATTTCCTCTGGGGCTCTCTGGAGGCTAATCTTCATGCGTGCATGCTTTTATATGTTCAGCTAATATTGCATGCCTGCTCGCATATGCCGGGCACTGTGCTGGACACCAGAGATCGAGCAGGAGTGATGGTAATCACACATACGGCAGGAAATCACAGCAATCACAAAGCCTGACTCTGGTTAGGCCCTGCATATTCTAAGTCATGTGCTTAGAATTTCATGTGCAAACTAATTTCATGACATAGGTATTATTTATTAGCCACCGTTTATGATAAGGCTCCATTTTATAGGTCAGGAATCTGGAGCATAGTATTTAGGTGGCTTAATCAAGGTCGCGGGTTTAGTAAGTGACAAAGTGGGCGTTTGATGCAGACAGCCTAGTGCCAGGACTCACGCTGTCCATGAGTGCACCTCAGGGGCTTCGGTGCTGGTGGGTGGAAGAGGCAAGCAAACAAACAGCGTAAACACAGATGTTGAATGAGGAATGGAAAGAAAGCACCAGGGTGAAGAGCCTGGGAGAACCCTGGGAGCGGCTCTTCGCAGGAGGGGTTCAGGGAGAGCCTGTGTCAGGAGGCTGCAGCGAGCTGGCCC